TAGTAACTTGATTGAATTTATAAAGAGGAATATGAATTGATTTCAGGTAGTAGGCAATTTTCAGATATTTTAACTAGTTGGAATACTAAAATAATTAATTAATTGTTTAGTGAGAGTTCTGTCACAACTACTCCATTAATTATATCTTATCTCTAAGTTTCATTAATGTGCTAGTATTGGTTGACTAAATTACTTTTCACATTTATAGACAAATGGATATAATAATTTTTTCAATAATTAATTAAGAAATTGGCCAGATAAATTAATTATAACATTACAACAATTACTAGCAACTTAACATTTTAATTAATTAAATTTAATATTCCAACTTAATTAAATTTATCCTGCATACCTACTACCCTATTTCAATTCACATTCCTAAAATATTTAAGCAGACATGATAACAATTAAATGCACACAAATTAAATAACATAACATTTTTATAAATATTACAGAAAACTTACAACTTCCAGAAAAAGCGGAATTGAACAATTCTGGATTTGAAACTCACAAAATGAACAAAAACTTAACTTCTTTATACAAATTTCGTAACTAGAGAGAAGGAAGAAGAAAAGTTGTGGAATATGATGGTTGGAATGGCAGGTAAAGCGCTGCTTTTATAGCCTTTCGGAAGCCCAGGCGCACGCCTGTAGCTGAGGTAAAGGCTCCCTTTCGGAAGCCCAGGCGCGCGTTCCTAGAACAAGACCGAGATATGCAACTCCCTATCGCATGGCTCCTGCTGAAATGAAAGAGGTAAAGGCTCAACTACAAAAATTGCTCGATAAAGGATTCACTCGACCGAGTGTTTCCCCATGGGGAGCACCCGTTCTGTTTGTAAGAAAGAAGGACGACTCGATGAGACTCTGCATCGATTACCGTTAATTAAACAAATTCACATTCAAAAATCGATATCATTTACCCCGTATCGATGACTTATTTGATCAACTTAGAGGATCCACTGTGTTCTATAAGATTGACTTACGGTCAGGATACCATCAAATCCTTGTTAAGAAAGAGGACATCCCACGAAAGGTGAGATTATATCTGACAAATAACAAAACAAAAAAATTAACGTATCATTCCATTAACTTTTCCGTCAAAATTTAACGGGGACCCAAAATGTGCAATAATTTAAAATGTAAGATTATTCCACATAACATTAAAAAGAGGATTTATTTTTGGAACCTCGTAAAAAAGTGAGATTAGTTCAGATAATTTACAAGAAATCATCAAAAGTAGGAGTAAAACATAGTGAAAATACTAAAATAGAAGATTTTTGTTTTATCCCAAAATAGGATTTTGTACTTTGATAATGTGGCATTATATATTGGCATCTCACTGCGTATTTTGGTATTATATGTTGAAATTATTGGCATTGCACTATTTTGGTAATAAAAATATGAAACTTATATTTTGATAAGAAATCATCCTAAATAGGAGTAAAACATAGAGAAAATATCAAAATAAGAGCTTCATGTTTTTATTTACTAAATAGGAGTTCACACTATAGTAATATGATAGTGTACATGAACATTTCACTATACGTTTTGCCGTTTTGGTAATGTATATAGATTTGGCAATTGGCACTATATATACATTTAAAATTAAATCTTATTTTAGGAAAAAAAACATAACCCAGTCCCTAATTTGATTATAAATTTGGAGTTACAAGGCAAGTTTTCTCGTCTTTTGAAATAATTTTATTAAACATTGATACATCAATAAAAAATAAAAATTAGATATTAAAAAACTAGATCGAAAGTTCTACAAAAGAGGATGTGATAAGAATATTTTATTTTATTAAATAGTCAATGAAAAAATAAATAAAAGTTATCGAGAAGAGAGATAAAATAAGATTGTAATCTAATTAGAAATCACCTCTATATGACTAAAAAACATTGTGTTAATCCCTAAGATAGGAGTTTATGTTTTTTACTACCCAAACTAGTATCACACCCACGCGTTGCACAAGTCATTTTTATGTTATTAAATTTAAATCGTTTTTCAATGATAAAAATGAGATACAATAGAATATAGAGATTATATTATTTTAAGGTAAAAACATCACTACTTTACAAATTTCGAAAGACTTCTTTATAGACTACATCATTTGTACAATTTGTGGGAATATTGTCTTTCATTGCATATCAAAAACAATTAGAATTAATTCTTTGGGTACATGTATTTCAAAAATAATTTGAATTAGTTTATAAGAGTACCATTGTATAGCTTAGGTTTCACCATTTGCAACACCAAAATTGGAAGGATTGAATCCATTGCATTCAAACCATCAATCAAAACATTGACATGATTTTCCCATAACGTACAATTTAACCAAACGCCCCTACACAAAAAAGGTTAAAATTAATATTAATCTTTATCGAAAATAAATAAATAATAAATATTTTTGTATTAGAAACTTTAAGAATATATATTTGCATATACTTTATTTAAAGTATATATTTGCTTAATATAATTTTTCTTCTTTTTGAAATGCATTTAGTGATTTAAAATATGTGTTAAGTCACAAAATGTCATATTTTATTCCCTCGTTTTTTAGTACTTTTAAGATATTTAATATGCATTTTATACCTAAATAATCACATTTTGTTCTATTTAGCATTTTAGGCTATTGTTTACATTTTATACATAAAATGCATAATTTTGAGCATATTTATATTCTACAAATATTTTGGAAGTATTGTTTATTACCTTGATACAAATTTTTAGATATGGAGTACAAAAGGATGAAGAAATGTCAAAATTGAATGCATATTTACAAAGAGTTATTGGGCCAAGTCAATTTGACCCACATGATCAAGTCACAATTGAAGCAAAGGAAAACAAAAGTTAAAATAAAAAAAGAAGACAAGCCGTGCTCTTTCCACGCGCACGAAACGGAAGAAATAAACGGAGAGCAGCGGAAGAAGTGCGAAGAGGTGGATTGCACAGAGTCTTCTTCTCCAATTCAATATCTTCAAAATTCAATTATAAAGAGAGGAGATAGAGATGAGATTGAAGGGGGGCAGATACCAGATCGGAGAGAAACAGAGAACAGAGGGAGATCGTGAATAGAGAAGTGCCGGCCTAGGGTTCCGACCCTAGGTCGGCGATGACAATTCCGGCGATGACAGCGTCCGGCGACGACTTGATTCCGACGAAGATGGCGGCTTCAGTTCCGCCGAGGTCATGGCGGCAGTTTGGCAGGGACGGCGATTCCATTGTGGTCTGGCTCTGTGCTTAGTGTGAACGCAGAAGTTAATTCAGGGAGCATTTCTTTTACTTTTCAATTTTATTTTTTTTATGAATTAGGATTTTGAATTTGTTTAATTTCCAATTGATGAATTTGATATCCATTATTTAAATATGATTATTTTCAATTCCAATTCTATGTTGAATGTTTAAGTTATATTATAAGTGATGAATTGTTTGTGTGTTGATGTTGAATTGTTCAAAGTTGATTTATTGATTTATTATTGTCTCTGAAATT